TGATCTTCTGAACAACTTTCACTTAATAAGATAGATCGATTTACTTAGTAAAATTTGACTTTACTATAGAGTAACTATTGATGATTATATAAATAGCTTATTTTTAGATCTAAGAAACTTTATATTTTTCTTCTAAAAAAAGAAAATTGCTTATTATTGAAGGTAGATTATTTGACAACATATAATATATATATATAATTTATTGAACTTGAACATGTTCACGAACTTGAACTGAACTTGAACTGAACCAAAACTTTGAGTTCAGGTTCAGTTCAAGTTTATAAATTTAAAGTTCAGATCAGGTTCAGGTTTAAAGATCTGCAAAATTTAAAGTTTAGTTCAGGTTCAATTGAACTTGAACCTAAACCTAAATTGAACTGAACTGAACTTTGGAACACTAGAAAAATCTATGGAAGATAAAATTAAAGAAATAGTTAATAATAAAGAATTAACATCCTAGCAGAAATCTTAGGTAATTGAATTTCTACTTAATAAAGCAGGAATGTTTGCTCAAGGTCTTGAAGATTTAGGATATACTAATGTCACTACACATGTCATTAGTATAGGCAATGCTATTCCGATTAAACAAGTATATTATAAAGCCACTTATGAAGAGAATGAGTTCATTAGAAAGGAGATAAATAAATTAAAAAAACAAGAACTTATTGTAGAGATAAATAGTTTCTAGAAATCCTAGTGGTAATAGTACCAAAAAAAATAGTAAGCTATGCTTTTGTGTAGATTTCCAAAAATTAAATTCAGTTACTAAAAAGACACTTATCCACTTCCGCATATTAACGACCTCTTGGATACTTTTGAAACAGCCAAATGGTTTTCTACTTTGGATTTAATGAGTGGCTATTGGCAAGTTGTAATAAATAAAGCTAATATAAAAAAAACTACATTTATTATGAAATATAGTACTTATGCCTTTAAAGTAATACTATTTGGGCTATATAATACTCTGAGAACGTTTAAAAGACTTATGGATAAAGTACTTAGAAAATGTAATAGAACTTTTGCTATAGTATATCTGGATGATATTAACATATATTCTAGTTCGTTTGAAGAATATTTAGCACACCTAAAAATTATTTTTAGTAATTAAAAAATGCTAGATTAAAATTAAACCCTAAAAAATATATCTTCATTCAATACAAAATTAATTATCTCAGTTATATAATCAACAAAGAAGAAGTAAAACCTGACAAATCTAAGATAAAAAAAGTAAAGAACTTTCCAGTATCTAAAAATCTACGCTAATTGAGAGGATTCATTAGGTTAGCCTCCTATTACTATCAGTTTATAAAAGGATTTACAACAATAGTCTGACTTCTATATAAGTTGTTAGAAAAAGATGTCTCTTATAAGTAGGCAAAAGATCAACAAAATACATATAAAACCTTAAAAAATTACCTTATGATAGCTCCTATATTAAGGTATCCAGACTTCAGAAAAATATTCTATTTATATACCAATATCTCTGGCATAGAGTTAGAAGCTATATTAGCTCAAAAAGATAAAGACTACAAAGAATATGTGGTAGCTTATACAAGTAGAGGGCTCTCAAAAACTGAACAAAATTATTTAACATCTGAAGTAGAGTATTTAGCCATAGTATAGGCTATCAAATATTTTTATTACTATTTAGAAGCTAAATATTTTGTTTTAATAACTAATCATGCTATCCTCAAATAGTTACATACTACTAAACCAAAAAAAAAAGTGCTTGTTAAATTTTGAGATTACAGCCATATGATTATTCTATTGTATACTAGGCTGGTAAAAACATTTTAATATGGATGCACTATCACAATGCATCTACAAAAAAAATAAATAAAAACTTAAAAACTTAAAATATTAATCTAAAACAAAATATGTAATAGAAAATAAGAAAAACTTAGAACCAATTATACTAATTTTTTTTTTTTTTTAAAAAAAAAAAAGATACTCTGTCTATAAGTCGTGTATTTAGCCTGGTACTAGCAGAGCTTGTATAGAAATAGATACTACATGAAAAATTGAGAACGTGTTTAGACCTGTCAGATATATATCTAGCCTGGTACTAGCAGAGTTAATCACTGAAATAAGTACTGTGCAAGACTTAAACCTGATTAGTGTAATTTAAAAATTAATTAGTCACAGAATTTCAATTTAAATAGCAATTGATAAAAACTTTACTTTCAAGAAAAAAAATTAATTACTTCAGAAAGAAAAAGATCTTTAGAAAGCGAAACCTGATATTAAAAATAAATTCAGTCCAGGTAGTTGGTGTCTTGGCAAAAAATTAAAAGATAGAGCCACTTCGATGTCAATTGTTGAAAATATATATTATAGAGCATACTTTACCCTGTACATTAACTCCTCAAGAACGATGAAGTATCCAAGCCCAAAGTCAATTTTTTGAAGTAAAAAATGGTCTAATATATAAGAAAAACAATCATAAAAGGAATCATCTATTAAGGGTTATACAAAACTATAAAGTTAAACCAATCCTATTTTTAATCTATACTCACCTGTTGGAAAAATACTTCAGGATCGATATAATGTTCAACAAAGTTAGGTGAAATATTATTAATTACAAATATATACCAACATTTGAAGATTTATCTGTATCTGTGATGCCTGTCAAAAAAGAGGCAAAAATTTAGCAAGACCTCTATTGTATCCCATATCTGTTGAAGGTCTATTTTACAAAATTGGAATAGATATTGTAGAAAATTACCTGTGACTCCAAAAAGAAATAAATATATTGTCATAGCTACAGACTACATGATGAAGTGGACTGAGGCTAGAGCAATTAAGAATGCCAATACTCAAGATGTGGTTGACTTCATATATGAAGATATAGTCTGTTACCATAGTTGTCCACAATATCTACTTTTAGATAGGAAAATATATTTTTGTAATAACTTAATAGATGAATTTCTAAAAAAATTCTCCATAAATCACCATTATTTGACACTCTATCATCCACAAACCAATAGATTAGTACAGTTTTCCCTCTTTATAATCGCCTTCCATATAATTACTTTATATAAAAACCTTTTTATAATCATACCTCTATTTGAGCCCAATTACTATTTAATATATATAAAAAAACCTCTATATAAGCATACCTCTTTATAAACACATTTTTTTAAAAAAATTACTATAGTCCCAACTATGTGATTATAAAGAGAAATGACTGTAGAGCATTTTAATAAAATGCTTTGTGAATCTATATCTAAACTAGTAATCAACATAAGAGAATGGAACTCATTAATACCTTTAGTACTCTTCATTTATCAATCAGCCAAACAAAGTATGATAAAGATAACTTTATTTTTCTTGGTGTATAGAAGGAAGGCTAGATTTTTAATTCATCCTAGTGAAAATGAAGAATTATTAGAGAAAACATTTATACACAGACTTTTCAAATTAATTGAAGTATTACCTGAAGTAAAAAATAATACTGTGAAATGAGTCAAAAAGTACAAGAAAATGCAAAGAGAATACATGATTGTGGTTTACTACCTATAAAAGATCTAAAGAAAGGAGAGTTAGTATTAGTATACAAAGCCTCTTAACAATATTCAAAAAGCTATAAACTGCACCCAAAGTGGAAAGGGCCTTTCATTGTTTATAAGGTGCTCCAAAAGGGTATATATAAGCTATATATTATAGAAGAAAAGATAATAAAAATATCTATAAATAGAAAATTAATAAAACAATACTATTATAGATAAGTGAAATTTGAAAAGAGATAACAAACAAAAAAAGATATTAATTAGTTAAAATTACTATTTTATTATAACAATATGCTATAATGTCATAAATAAACTCTAATAATAATATATATATATATATATATATATATACTGTTGAAGGTCCAAAATCAATAGATGACTTAGCTTCACATAACAAATTGTACAGAAATCTTAGTAAAACTACTATATGAGAAATTACTTAAAAATTAAAATTCTTTAAAAGCATTAAGCAAGAAATAGATTGAGATAGTCTGTTGCTATATCTGATAAACTAACTAGAAAATACTTTTTAGAGACAAGTTTCAAACAAACACTGCTCATAGATGTTTTGGCCAAAGACATAATGATAAACTATAAAAAGACAATACAAAAATTAGGGTTGAAAAATCAAACCAGAATTGAAGACTTCAATTCTTAAGCTCAAGTTAATACTGCACATCAATTTCAGACTGCTGAGGCTGCAGCAGCAGTACAGAATTCTGGTGAAGTAGATAATGTAACTGTCAAGAAAAATGAGAAGGACTTGAATATAGCTAAATCTAATATTGGGGAAGAGAACATTGAATTGGTTAACAACTTCTTGCACAAGGAGACACTGGTATTAAGAATATTCAGATTTTAGCAAGATTGATAAGCTCATATCAAATAAAAAATTAGTTTTTAAAGATACCTGTATTTGACTAACTCCTAATAAGAACTTAAGTAAAGATGAGTGTTCGAAAGAATATAATCTCAATTTAGAAATACTAATTATTTTATTTGAAGATAAGATGCCTGAGTTAGAAGATAATACTAATTGAGTATAATATTTATCAAGTGACCTGACATAACAACAAACTGAATATAAAAGAATCCCAACTTAGAACCTGACATTATAAAATAGTGATTAAATAGATTCTATTTGATAAACCAAATAGTATTAAAAATTGACGAAGAAGAATTTAGCTCTGTATTCTCTATGATCTGGTTAGATGATATACAAAAAATTAATGGTACTTTAGTTAATTATACACAATTCAAGATATGTTCTTACGGACTTTTACAGTAGTATTATTTTACAAGAGGTGATTTATAAAAGTATACAATTCTACATCACAGATCTGAAATTGTCTAAAAGAACAAATAGAAATAAATAAGAATTTATTTATGAATTGAAGAATTATGTTACTAAAAGAATTATGATAACAAATCGAATATAAGCAACACAATTGAAATAAAGGATAAATAGTTAAAATTTGAATTATATCATTATTTTATTAGTTTTATTTATATATATATATATATTATTAATTTATATATACCTTTGTCTTTTAGGGTGGCCATGTTGTTTTTTAAAATTTTGAGGCATTATCTCTAAAGTCAATTTTTAGATCTTATAAATTAAGGTTTTAAGAAATTCTTCTATTGGATTATTAGATTATACAAATTACAAACTTAAGAAGTTAGATTTTCAAAATTAGTAATTATTCTAATGTGGACAAATAAGTTAGAATACTTATCTGTTGATCAAAAAGATTAGAGTTCAAAACTTGTTGTGAATGAGCTAATGCCTTTCTAATGGCCAGAGATATGGTATGGCCTCTTAAAGATAATATACTAGAATAAGAATTTTTTTATTTTATTTTTTATTTTATTTTGGGTTTATTTTATATTTATTATTAATATATTAAGTATTTATTATAATAATTTATGCCTGGTATGCATAAAATAAGGTTGGGCAAATGTTACGAGCTAAAAAAAAGATCTACAAAAATAGATACAGCAAACCCATGATTGAAATAATAGATCCAAGAAAAACTAGTTTATAAATTAAGGCTTATCAGCCAAATAAGATAAAAACAATAACCAACACAAAATCTGAAGAACAAGAAACACGTAAGAAGAAATTAAAGAAGGATGAGTATCAAGATTAAGATATAGTTAAAGTAGCTATAACTGTATTGAGCGAAGCAAAGCCTTTCTTATTATAATAATATTATTAATTGTGGCAAATTAAAATAAAATTTAGATTAAAATGAAATAATAATATAAAATCTCAAAAAATAAAGTTTTTTAGTAGGTATTTTTTAGAGCTAGGGGTTAGAATTAGGGTTAAAATTGGAGTAAAATATATTAAACAAGTATAAGTAGGTTTTAGAAGGTTAGGAGGTTGAATAGAAAATGTAGATTTTATTTTAAATTATGATCTGTGATATTAATTATTATTGTAAGCTCTTATCTTAGAACTAGTTTTCTTAAATTCGTTAAAAGATGTAATAGATAATTCATCCCTAAGCCTCTTGAATCTTTTATGTTTGCTAAAAGCTATAAAAGCTCTAGCATTCTGCTCTTCTAAAAGAGATATCTGACAGGATTCTAATAACCCCTTTTAATATATTTAATAAATCACCTGGTTAAACTCATTTGCTAAAATAAATTATTGTCAAATCACTATTGCCACGCCTCTGGTGAATACTTTATATCATCTAAAACTATATTTTCATGTATAAACTAATTAAATATACAAAATACCCTATGACAATATATTGTGCACAAATATATTATACACATATGTTACGTATTATACGATTATTTTTCTGTAAAAACAAAAATTAGATTTTAATTTTTTAATAAATATTTCAAATACTATTGTTCTTTTTTTTAAATACTTTTGAAGATCAGCTTTTAATGTTGTTTTCAAGTTCACAGCATCAGCAATTTTATTAATAGAATTTTTATTTTGAGCACTAGTATGAGTGCTATTAAATAATAATCGTATAAATATAATCAATATTATTTATTAATTAAATACTAATAACTGACTTGCAAATTACAATATGTTAGTATACCTGGAAGCATGACTGTGTATGTGACCAGAGGTTCGAGATTTTTTACTTGGTATTTCTGATACTTCAGTGTAGAACTAATATCTAGTATGTCACTGTTATTTTGCTATTGAAGAGTAGTTAATAGAGTACAAAAGATACTAGTATCAGTAGTTATTCTTGTATTAGTTACCAGACTTGAAGTTCTGAAAACTTTTAAAGGTTGATTGTGATCGATGAACTGAAAATATAATATATAAAATTTAATAGTCATTTAAAAATAGCTTATTATAATTCTACTTATACTAATTCCAAGGCTTGATACAAACTCTTCAAGAGTCTCATGTGTTCTGATAGAAAGATCTTTTATTTATTAAAAAAAAAACTTTTCAAAAAATAAAATATTTATAAAAACTAATAATTAAAATAACTGATTATACCTTTCTTTATTTTTTTGCTATTGTGAGATGAATAGCTACTATTTATTTTATACTTTTTAATATCACCTGTTGTAGAGTAAGTTGATTATATTTGTATTTCATATAATAGTTCCTATTCATAATTTTGGCTAATTCTTATAAACGTTTATTATTAATTATCTTTCTTATTATTCACCTAATAGCTCAGCCACAAATTGTAAGAGAAAACATTGGATTTTTGCGTTTAACTAAAAATTGTTTTTTAATATTTTAAAATATCAGCAAAAATAATTGAACTGTGGGTCTTACTCTTTTAATAATTTTACTTTTTTTGCTCTCAGGTATTTGTTAAAACTTAGGCACATTCTTTTCATATTTAGCCATTATCATTAGATGAAATGATTCCTAGAATAACAATATTAAACCAATAGATAAATAAATCAATAGATAAATAAAAGATATATATAATAACACTATTATCTGATAACTATTATATATAGACTTCTCAATCTTAAGAAACTTTAGTATATTAACAGATATTGTCTTACTTGGTTTTTCAATTGATACTGGCTTTTAAATAATTATTTAGTAATTATGTAATGTAAAATTACTCAAATTATCAAATATATACAATAAAATCCTTGTCACTGCTCTCCGTTCCTAAACTAGAAATATTCTTGTAATTTTTTTTATTCAATTTGATTTTTTTTTTTATTTCTTAGATATATTGTTATCAGTATTATCTAAGATGAGTTCAATTTTTTGATTCTTAACCTTATTATAAGCTGTTTGAAGCTTCTCCAAAGTTTTTAATCTTTTAATTAAGACTGACATTTTATTTGTTTTGGAGAAAGGTTTATCTTCATTCTCTAAACTTTGTTCATTTTTATATGTTTCTAATTTTGAATTAAACTGAGTTGCTTCTTCTTGATTACTTGTATTTAAACTTTGACTAATTGCAGATGCTTCTTTTTTCTTATTGAGAACTATTATTGCAGAGAAAAAAAATAGTTGCAATCTTTATAGTAAAAGTTTATTCTTCAAGCAAAATTCATTAAATTAGAAAAGACTTAATTTTAAATGAGCAAGAACTAAAGAGAGTTCAACTAGAACAAGTGAAGTTAGTTATTTGACAACAAAAATAGATATTTGTTTTATTACTTTTAAGTTAGAGAAAGAAATTTACCAATTACAATTTTATCTTTCTTTTTATTCAATTTTTAACTATATATTATTATTATTGCTATGATGTAATTTACTATGACATAAAGGGTGTGGTGACATATAGTAGTGGTTAAATTGTCACCTTCCAAGTGGCAAATCTAGAGTTCGATTTCCACCAAAGATATTTTTTGAAAAATAGGCCTGTGTTCCAGTAATATTTATTCAACGATTAGTTGGGTATATCACCTGTAATCTTGGTACTATAGTACAGAACAGTAAAAGACATCCAATCTATATATAGAGGTGCCAATTTTTGATACTTATATAATCAATTCTGATTGGCTAATTTTTGTGTATTTGATTCTAATTGGTTAAAATTATATATATGTTTTCTTTTTTTTTATATTAAATGCCAATTTTTTGAACTCATATAAACTTTAATCCTTTATAACTTTTT